CGCTGTAGTAGCCGCTGCCGACCAGCTTGAGGTTGAGCAGCAGCGCCGAGTAGCAGGCCAGGTACACGCCGTCAGGCGTTAATGATCATCAGCTGGTACGGCTCGACGCAGCTCAGGTCCGACTGCGAGCTGTACAGACCTGAGGGCCACCCGGTCAGGTCAGGTCAGGTCAGGTCAGGTCAGGTCCGACTGGGAGCTGTACAGACCTGAGGGTCACCCAGTCAGGTCAGGTCAGGTCCGACTGTGAGATTACAGACCTGAGGGTCACCCAGTCAGTTCAAGTCAGGTTAGGGCAGACCGGAAGCTGTGCAGACCTGAGGTCACACAGCCAGGTCAGGGCAGGGCAGACCGGGAGCTGTGCAGACCTAAGGGTCACCCGGTGAGATCGGGTCAGGTCAGGTCAGGTAAGAGCTGTACATGTCCTGATGGTGAGACTGAAACCAGTACAGATGTGCACGTCGTCGTCTTATTAGGGCAGGTCCTGTTTTTCCATACTGAGCAAACGCCGCAAACAAAACAGCAGTGGAAGAGCTCAAAATCAACCAAGACCTAAAGCGACGTTCAGGGCCAAATGCTCGCCTTCAAGCCTCGCGCTACTACAGCTGCCACCTCACGGAGGTGCAGTACGGTATCACGTGCGCTGGGTCCGCAGCACGGACCGGCAGCTGAGACCCCCACCGTCGCAGTAGTTGGAGGCGAACTCCTGCACGGCCTGGTCGACCTCGAGGCAGCTGCGGATGGCCAGCAGCGACGGCAGCAGCGCACGCAGCGTCTGCACGAAGTGGCGGCAGTGGCGGCGCTCCTGCTCGCTCGAGCTGTCGTAGTACTGGGGGCAGGGGCACGCGGCCCGTCAACGGTCTCCAGGGGCTCGCCGCGACGCGTGCCGGTACGCCCTCCGCCGCAGCGGAGCGCGGCGCACCTCGCTGCGGCGGCCGGCAGACGCAGGCGGCGGCGCTGTACGGCCGGGGCGTCTGAACGGAAACGACAGGGAACCGGCGCCGGCAGTGCTTCAGAGACGCCTGAGCCGTCTGTCAAAGCCGGTGCATCAGAGAAGCAGCTGCGGCGACCGCACCGCGCTGACGTGAAGACAGGCCGGAGACGTGGCCGCCGCCGGCGCAGGGACGGCGTCGATGCCGCCTACTGACTCCCACACGCTACGCTGCCTGGGTGGTCCCCAACCCATTCGGGCGGGCACACCACAGGCGGTTCGATCACAAACTGAGGCGTGACCGAGCGCAGCAGAGGCCCACCTGCGTGGCGCGGCTGGCCTGCTGGTCGCCGCCGCGCAGCCGCCGCAGCCGGCAGCTCTCCTCCTCCATCTGGCGGCGCTCCGCCTCCTCGGCCTCCGACGTCAGCTGGGGCACAGGCCAAACGGCCGCCGCGGTAGCAGCGAGAGCGGGCTGACACGACACCGACACGGGGGTGGCTGGGGAGCCCGGCGAGCTCAGGGACTTGGTGGGGCCTGACAAATGGAGCCTCTTGGAACACAGCTACCTTCAGTGCAGAGTGCAAGCGGACAATACCCTAGAAAAGAACAAAACTAGCGTTTCATATCAAGCTTTACACTCGCTTCTACCCGCCTAAGTTGCAGGAGGAGCATTTCTCAATGAACAACGGTGAACATCCAGTCGAAAACCCTCCACTTACCATCACGGCGCCGAACGGAACGACGCGTTAGACCCGTACATCGGAGGAACGTCGCACCGCCGCCTGGCGGCTGGGCTCCAACGGTGGGCCGTCCGGCGCTCACCTCGTCCAGGTCGTCGGTGAGCTGGTCCGGCTCCGGGCCCTCGGTGTCGCCAGACCCGTCCGACTCGTACCCGGTGGGCGAGAGCTCGGTCTCGCCCGCTGCCGGCTGCCGGCCCGGCAGGTAGCTGGACGCCAGCGACGACTCGGACGCGAATTGCGCCGCCGACAGCCGAGACCGGTGTCGGAAGGCCGACGCGGGGCACTGGTAGGTCACTGGACCTGACAGCGCAGGGCACTGGTAGGTCACCGGACCTGACGGCGCAGGGCACTGATAGGTTACCGGACCTGACGGCGCGGGACACTGGTAGGTCACCGGACCTGACGGCGCGGGGCAATGGTAGGCCAACGGACCTGACGGCGCAGGGCACTGGTAGGTCACCGGACCTGACGGCGCAGGGCACTGATAGGTTACCGGACCTGACGGCGCAGGGTATTGGTAGGTCACCGGACCTGACGGCGCAGGGTATTGGTAGGTCACCGGACCTGACGGCGCAGGGCACTGGTAGGTCACCGGACCTGACGGCGCAGGGTATTGGTAGGTCACTGGACCTGACGGCGCAGGGCACTGGTAGGTCACCGGACCTGACGGCGCAAGGCGCAAGTAAGTCACCCAACCTGACGGCGCGGGGCACTGGTATGTCACCGGACCTGACGGCGCAGGGTATTGGTAGGTCACCGGACCTGACGGCGCAGGGCACTGGCAAGTCACTGGATCTGACAGCGCATGACACTGGTAGGTCACCCGACCTGACGGCGCAGGACGTTGGTAGGTTACCCAACCTGACGGCGCAGGGCACTGGCAAGTCACTGGATCTGACAGCGCATGACACTGGTAGATCACCCAACCTGACCTGACGGTGCAGGACGCTGGTAGGTACGGGCCTGAACAGATACGCTACCAGACACCGGATGTAGCTGGTCTCCGGCACGACATCGGATGCACGCGAATCGTGAAGCGTTTGTATGTCCCAAGGTGGCAATGGTACGTCCCGAAGAACTGTTACGTCACCCTGCCGGCTGACGGCGGCAGCAACTCGCGCCACTTCGCGGCGGGCGAGACCGACCGCCGGGCGGCGGTGTCACGGGCGGAGTGTGGAGGTGGGAGCGTGAGAGCAAGGGAACAGTGACGGTGACAATGAGGTCCACTGCCAGCGTGATGAAGCACGAGACGACAAACAGGGCGAGAGCGAGGACGAGATTGACAGCGCGGCCTGAACGTAAAGAGCAGCGAGGGTGCTGGAGATGGCGAGAAGGCGCGAGAGCGAGACAGCAGCGAGGGTGGAGGCGGCAGTGGCCGCCACCCGTGTCAGACTGCTAGCGCGCGGCGCCGGCGGCGGTCTGCGGGCAGGCCGGCGGGCGGACGCGCACCTGCGTAGTCGGCCTCCTCCAGCCGGATGTAGAGGGCGTTGATGCGCGCCACGTACTCGGGCTGCATCTGGCGGCCCTCGCAGACCGTCTCCAGCGACTGCAGCAGCGCCACGCAGCAGCAGATGTTGGTGTACACCGCGCCGGGGTCGCTCAGCGTGTTGCACTCCAGCACGGAGTCCATCAGCCTGCGGCGCGGCGGCGGTCAGTGACGCCAGTGACGTCGTCGGCGGCGGCGGCAGACGAGACGGGAGACGACACCAGACAGCGCACTGACGGCTGCCAACTCGCTCACAGCCGCGCACAGTCACACAAGTCCGCATGCCAGCGCAGCTCCGTCGGCGACCGTCCATCAGCGCAGATGTGCCGCGGGGCCCATGACACTAGTCGCCAGCCGCTCGGCAGGTGGCTCACGCCGCGCTCCCGGCCACAACCAACACCAGCTTCAGCGCGGAGCCGCGCGTAAAGCAAGCGACTGCTGTGTTGCCAGCTGTACCGCCTGGTATCGCAACATGCCGAGCCGGTCGGCGTTCTCGGCCCGGAGTTCCCGGTGCTCACGCCCGGCGTGGTTCGTGGTCACTTGTGTCTGTCGCCGCCAGACACTCAGATCTCGAATAGGAATGGATAGGATAAGATAGAAACTCGTCAGCGACCACATAGTGTTGGGTCAAAATAGTGGAAACGAAGCCGGGATTTGAAATATTTACACGTGCCTCTCGTTAGAGTACGATACAAGTGTTTTAGGGCCGCACGTCTCCACAGCGGTCTAAAGAACAGCAGGACCGCCTGGCGACATTCGGCCCGCTCACAGCTGTAGTAGCGCGAGATCGCTGGTGTGGGGCTGTCGGTCCGGCTCCTCCAGCAGCACGGGGCCGCAGAAGGCCAGCAGCAGCTCCGGTGTCTTCAGAATCTGCGCGAACAAGAGTGCAGCTCGCACCACGAGGACAGCATGCCTTTACGTGGATTAACGACATCCAAGTGCGCGCGATTTTCGCTCATAGCTGTACCTATGACAACGAAAAGAACAGAGTACATGAACTTCGCAGAATCATCATGAGCTATCGGTCAATACTGTGTATTTGGGCTTAGAGTCCCGATAAACGCGGAATCAGGACAGACGGTAAGTGAGTCATTACCATGCAATGCCACTCTCGCTCACTTAATGACATTGTACCCCCGAAAGGTGCCTTTAATGTCTTTTAGCTTCGCCGTCTATCAGCTGTCTCCGAGACGCATCCCACGACCCGCCCGCACGGGCCACGACAAGCCACTACCGGGGCGCCGCCGCGTGCGACCCCGGCGGCCGCTGTGCTCTCCTGCGGCCGCGCGCGACACCCGCGTCCGTGCGCGATCCCTCGCGGTCGCGTGTGATCCCCGTGCCCGCGCGTGATCCGGCCTGCCGTCGCATGCGGTACCCGTGTCCGTGCGCGGTTCGCCGCAGGCCGCCGCCCACCTGTTTGATGGTGCGCAGCGCGTCCTCCCTGTGCTGAGGGGGCGGGTAGAGCAGCATCCAGTGGAGCAGCGACTCCAGTACCGGCCGCATGGCGGCCACCGCGCCCAGCAGCCGCACCAGCTGCACCGACACGCTGCCGGCAGACGGAGCTGGCACCGCATGGTCCATGCACCGGGCAGGCAGGCGCTCACAGTGGTTAACCGAGGACATGGATAAGGAACACGTGACACCATAACGTCCGTAAATATGTGCCTATGGATGGAGAAGGAACGTGTGGCTGATGCGTTTATGTGCTACTGAATGTGGGCAAGTCAACCACACACTTGAAAACAAGCATTTTTGTATCACAGCATTCCAACCAATCTTTGCGCATTACGCACTCCAAAATAGGCGATCCGGCCTTGGTCCGGCAGGCAGGAGGACGACACCGCCGTCAAATCAGCGCCAGGATCAGCAGCACGCAGGGGGGCGGGTCGCGTCGGGCCGGGACGGCGCCCACCTGAAGATGAGCCGGGCATCGGCCGGCCGCAGGCTCGGCTGCTGGTCGAGGCCGCCCGAGCCGCGGCCCAGCTCGGCGTCCGGCGCCGCCGGCACGTGGCTGCTGACCCTCTCGCTGGTCGGCGAGCCCAGCAGGCGCACCAGCGCCGGTGTCAGCTGGCGCCACGTCTGCTCCAGCACGCCCGCGCACCGCTGCACGCGCACCGGCAGCGCCGATAGCAGCGCCAGCAGCGTCGACAAGTGGAACTGCAGACTCGCTGGGTGCCCGCTAGGCGACGCCGGCCTGACAACGTGAACGCGTGATATCAGTGTGAAATGACGCGGCCAAATGATGGGCGCACGCAATAGCGAGGTCCACTGCAATAATATGCGGTGTCTTATTTAGGCATCCATTTATTTCAAGCCCTCCTGGAAGCGATAACCGCCAAACAAACACCGCCATGACGATGCTGGATTAATGTAAGACTGATGATTGAACCATCTCTTTCATATCCTAACTGCTTCTAACTACCCTATCGACTCTCCTTTTACTCTGGCTTCAGTATTCCTGAGGCAGATAGCAGAGGTGTTGCCTGCATCGGTACCGCACGACTACGGACCTCTTGCCGGCGTGCTGGTCGATCTGTTGGCAGAGGTGGCGGTAGGTGGGCAGCACGTCTTCGTACACCTGGACAGGCGGCGCCTCCTCGGCCCGGCTGGCAGAGTCCTGCTGCTCGCTCAGAGCGCTCTCGTAGTCCTCGTCTGCGGCGTCCAAACACCACCGATGATGACGATTCTGACTTTGGGGCGCGCCGACTACAATGATCATACGGCGCCCATGGTCCAAACACCGCCGTGACGACGCAGCACCGCCAACATCGCTGGCATAACACACACCTCCAGCACCCATTTCAGCTCGACACATTCATTCACGATGAATCAGCCTGCTCCAACGACGGAGTCTCAAGAAAGTAACTGCTAGACGTGCGCTGCAAAGAGCAGGCTCAGCGAGTCCGCAGCGAGCACACACGTGGCAGCTTCGGCCGCTCCACACCCGGATCATGTTCCGTCGTCTCCAGCTCCAGGCTGGGCGGGCCGGCCGCCCCACTGACCGAGCATGGCAGCGAAGCCTCGCACGGCCTGGCAGGCAGTGGCCTGGGCGGCGGTGGCCACCATGTCCGGACCGCCGGCCGGCGTCAGCGTGCAGAGCTGGTGACACAGCGTCACGATACGCACCACCAGCGCGTTGTTGGCCACCCACGAGCTCTGGCAGGTGGCGTTCAGCAGCACCTGTGGCGGCGGCCAGAGAAGGCGCGCTCAGGCGGCGGCGGTCAGAGGGGGCGCGCGCTCAGGCGGCGGCGGTCAGAGAGGCGCGCTCAGGCGGCGGCGGTCAGAGCGGGCGCGCTCAGACGGCGGCGGTCAGAGCGGGCGCGCTCAGGCGGCGGCGGTCAGAAAGGCGCGCTCAGGCGGCGGCGGTCAGAGGAGGGCGCTCAGGCGGCGGCGGTCAGAGGGGGCGCGCTCAGACGGCAGCGGTCAGAGCGGGCGCGCTCAGGCGGCGGCGGTCAGAGGGGGCACGCTCGGGCGGCGGCGGCGGCGGCGGCCACGGGACGCCGGCGGTCAGGTGGGCGGCGCGCCGTCGCGGCCGTGCCCCGGATTCACCCGGTCAGGGCGTCGCCGGGGCTGGCAGCCAGACGACGGCCGGGCGCACGGTCGGAGCACCAACAGCTGATGTCTTCGGTCGGGCTGTCAGGAGACTCAACCCCAGCCAGGGGCATTACAATGGCCTTGGGATTAGGTGCTCCTGACCAAACAAAAAAGTCGGGCCATTTGCAGCCCGGTTTTTTCATGAGAGGGCGCACGTGGATAAGAGTGGTACCAAATTGATTCCATTCAAACAACTTTAGAAGGCCGACCAAAGCCTTTAAAGTTGAAGTCCGTATGAGGGCCTGAGAATGGGCTGTGTCGGCATTACATGACCTGAACCTCCTAATTTTACGACCTGATTCAGTTGGTCTGAGCCTTTATTGACCGAGACAAACTTACCCACGCAATGCATACACCAACTGGAATTTCTGTCCTAATATACGTCTCGAAGATCGGAAGCCTTCAGATGAAGTAAATCTCCATATTCATAGCAGTTGAGCACAGTGTTTTCGCACCCCTGGTATTGAGATGATGACACCAGGCTCCATGATCTCCACCTGGGCCTCCTCAGCCAGTACGGTCACCAGACTCACCCTCATGATCTCCACCTGGGCCTCGCCAGCCAGTAAGGTCACCAGACTCACCCTCATGATCTCCACCTGCGCCTCCTCGGTCAGCGAGGTCATGGGCGGCAGCACATCCAACAGCTGGGTGGTTAGCCAGAGGCTCTCGTCGTCACTCTCGAACGGGGAGGCGAACCTGTCGTCCCGCAGCATCTTCTGCGGGAGCCGTGGCGACACGTCACACGTGGTAGCTATGGGAACGGCGCGCGCTCACTCCGGCAGAATGGACAACGGGGAGCCGACAACACGGCGAGCACAAACATTTTGACAGTTTCATGTTGAGAGAGAGAGAGAGAGAGAGAGGGAGAGAAGAAAAAGAAGAAGAGAGAGAAAGAAAGAGAAATGAAAGAGAGAAAGAAAAGAGAAAGAAAGAGAAAGAAAGAGAAAAGAAAGAAGGGAGAGAAGAGGAAAGAGAGAGAGGGAAAGAGAGAAAAGAGAGGAAAGAGAGAGAGAAAGAGGAGAGAAGAGAGGGAAAGAGAGAAGAAAAGAGAGAGAAGAGATAGAGAGAGAAAGAGAGAAAGAGAGAGAGAGAGAAGGAAGAGAGAGAGAGAGAGAGAGAGAGAGAGAAGAGAGAGAGAGAGAGAGAGGAAGAGAGAGAGAGAGAGAGAGAGAGAGAGAGAGAAGAGAGAGAGAGAGAGAGAGAGAGAGAGAAGAGAGAGAGAGAGAGATAGAGAGAGGAGAGAGAGAGAGAGAGAGAGAGAGAGAGAAGGAGAAGAGAGAGAGAGATAGAGAGAGAGAGAGAGAGAGAGAGAGAGAGAGAGAGGAGAGAGAGAGAGAGAGAGAGAGAAGAGAGGGAGGAGAGAGAAGAGAGAGAGAGAGAGAGAGAGAGAGAGAGAGAGAGAGAGAGAGAGAGAGAGAGAGAGAGAGAGAGAGAGAGAGAGAGAGAGAGAGAGAGAGAGAGAGGAGAGAGAGAGAGAGAGAGAGAGAGAGAGAGAGAGAGAGAGAGAGAGAGAGAAGAGAGAGAGAGAGAGAGAGAGAGAGAGAGAGAGAGAGAGAGAGAGAGAGAGAGAGAGAGAGAGAGAGAGAGAGATAGAGAGAGAGAGAGAGAGGAGAGGAGAGAGAGAGAAGAGAGAGAGAGAAGAGAGAGAGAAAGAAGAGGAGAGAGAGAGAGAGAGAGGAAGAGAAGAGAGAAATATATGGATATATATATATATATTAGTATATATATATATATATATTTATATTATATATATATTCTACTAAATATATATATATATATATAAGCAGCCTAAAGTGCATGCAACCAAATCATGAAGGGCTATCCAATAGCGATTACGGGCATCAACCAGTACCCACTCACCAACCAAAAGACAGACATACAAGAGGTCATTTAGCTGTCATGGTGGCCTACAAGAGGTCACCATGTCATCAAGGCCGCTCAGGACGCAGTCAGGGCGCCTGGCCTCGGCGGCGTTGCCCGGCCGTAGCCGTCGGAGGCTGCGGCGGCCGCTTACCTGCAGCCCCTGTATGGCGAGCGTGACCAGCTTGTTGGTGCCGCTGTGGAGCGCAGCCCGCAGCGCCTCCAGGCACCTGGCGCGCAGCTCCCAGGGTGGGTCGCGCAGCAGGCCCTGCTGCGACTCTGTCAGGTCTGCGGCGGCGGCGGCTGTCAGAAGGCGGCGCACAGGCAGCCGGCACGGGGCCGGTCAACAGGCGACCCACGGCGTCAGGTCAGGTCAGCAGACGTACGGGGCAAGTCAGGTCAACAGGCGACCAGCGGAGACAGCAGGGACAGGACAGGTCAACAGGCGACCCACAGCGTCAGGTCAGGCTAGGTCAGCAGGCGTACGGCGAAAGTCAGGTCAGCAGGCCACCCACAGCGACACATTATATCAGCAGGCATCATACAGGCAGCGAACAGAGACAATGCCGGCATGGAGCACATCAGCACTTGTCATACATATGATCCGCAGGGGGGCATACAAACATTTACACACGCCGAGTCAGCAGGAAATGCCTAGGCCGTGGCCGCAGGCGAGGGCAGTAGACATGTCCTGGGCGCAGGTCAGGCCAGTTATCACGTGACAGGGACAGATTAGGTTGGTGTGCGCCAGAAGGCACATGGGGACTGGGGACCGGAGCGGGAAAGTCCCAAGAGACGGTACAGTGCCAAGAGATTGATCATGAACCATCTCAATGTATACAACACAGCCGTCTCTAGATGACGCATCGCGTGATCCCTGAGGCCATGAATGGTGCGCTCCACATCATGACGATTCGCATGCTAAATTGTCGCAGAACTCTACGGCACACCAGGTAGTATCACATCTCAGGAATGATGAGCGGTTAGTGGTGGTAAAGCAGCGCTACAAGCGTTCGCAGCCCTTCCTCGGCCCTTCAGCCCTTCAGCCCTTCCCTCGGCCCTTCCCTCGGCCAGCCCGGCGCGGCCGACACCTCATGGCCGGCCAGCGCCCCCGCGGCCGACACCTCACGGCCGGCCAGCGCCCCAGCGACCGACACCTCACGGCCGGCCAGCGCCCCCTGCAGCCGACACCTCACGGCCACAGCGCCCACCTCGCGCCTGTTCGGCGAGCAGCCGGACGCCGGCGAGCCGGGCGGCGCCGGCCTCGCGCGCCAGCTGGCTCAGCAGGTCCTCCATCCGGCAGCCGCGCCGGCTGACGCAGTGGTACCAGCGCCAGCGCCAGGCGTCCGGACGACGCGTCCGCCGGCCACCCTGCCGGCCCAGCGGCACACAGGTCAGTCCAGCCGTCTGAAGCGGCTCAGGGCCGCAGTCGACCACGGTGGCGACCCTCGAATGCTGCGCTGCGAACGGCCCCACAGTTCAGTTAATGCGCTCACGTCTTGCGCTATGGGAGATCTGAGTCGCAATGATCTGAATGATGAGTTTCGATCTTTATCAGGTGCTGCAAGATCTCATACGATTTGCTTCCTTAACAAATTGAGTACAGTTTATAGTATGGAGCGGACAGTTTGGCGGCAGGCTGTTAAAAGTGAAAGGAATTTTCATGAACAAGGCCGTTTTTAGAAGGAACAAATTCAGTTTACATCGGAGGGGGATTCGTAAAAATCCAGCTTCAAGTGGAAATACTAACTCATGAAAAGTGCTTCCGGGCAGCAGACCCACCACCTTAATAACACAACCCTTGTCCAGATGAGTACGCGTGTTGTTATATTTCGGCCTCACATGTGCCGCTCGTCTTTCACGTAAGTGGTCTCTTGCTAGATATTGTACCAGAACGTTTTAAATGGATGGATATCTGAGATCAGAGCTCACGCTAAGCAGTGCTTGTTGCGCGAGTCTCGACCCCTACCATTCGATCGCGCGACTCCATTTCAGCGGCAGACTTTGGTGGCGAAAGTTTAACGTGTCGCAAAGCGCGGCACGGTCCGCACTGCCCTATGACGTCACCTGACCTTTAGCGCGACCTCTGCGGCCAGTCGCAGGCCATACCTGTCAACGACAAATAGCAAGAGCCTAAAGTGACTCGAGCCCACCCCGCCATGTGTGGTGGCGGGCGAGCGGTTGGGTGGATCGGAACGCACACGCTCTAACCAACTGAGCAATCGGGACGAACACTTGAACCAAACTGTCAAGCGTTAGATCACGGTGAACCCGCCACCACACTTAAATGTCATGTCTGTAAGCGACTGCAAACGTCATAACCTCACCGCGGTTATTCGCTGCCAACTCCTGACACAGAGCTCCGTCAAAGCGAGCTATTCGGGCCGCTCCTGCCAATAAAGCGGGCCAGGAGCCTGGTTCTAGGCTCAGCTGGGCCGCACCAGCTGCACCATTATCGTGCGGCGAATGAACAGATGGGCAAAGCTTTAAGGCATGCAAAATGGTTTCAAAATGTTGGGGAACATCGGATGATGCCGAATTGACACCATCCGAACAAATAACCAGTGGCGATGAGCTTGGATGCCAGGTTCTCGGCTTGTCGTCATGATCTCCAACCGTTCGATCATGTCGGAACACCTAGTGATCAGGAATTAATGCATACATAAACCGGTCATTACTGCACACGCGCCCACTGGTCGCTACGTTTGGTATCAGCGCCACGTTATTGGCCGCCCAGGGGAGCTCGTCGACAATAGACAGCGGCAGAGTCGACAGCGGACCTACATGCGGTCCGAGCGCCGCCCAACAAAAAAAGGAAGAAAAAAACACCATCTGTCGTTAGCCGAGCACCCAACGGCACCTGAACCACATTTTAAGCGCGACCAAGTGCATGTATAGGACACAATATGTGCGGGTAACAAGCACCGTATGCGAAGGAATGTGCAGGGTGACTCAGATAAGTCATTATGACCTACGAAGATAGCAGATGCTGAGAAGACGCTGTGAAAAAGATGCGCTCGAAGGATGACCCGCGAGATGTCACGCCTGAGTCGAAAAAGAGGCGTTAGGATGCAGCTGCATGTGTAGGGGCTCAGAACAAAGTTAACTAACGTGTTTTCTCAATAGTAGCGAGCGCATCTGTCACACAAGCACGACTATGCTGTCTCTTGACTGCCGATTCAATGATAAAATACAATCAATGACAGTGGCAGCCATCCGTGACTTCTCACCCGTCAAATCGTACCTCTGTAGGTTGCCCAGATGGATGGCGGTCGAGAATGCACGACAGGGAAATCTGATGGAGGTGGTCGTTCGTTCGATAGATCTTATCGACTCATCCCAAGCCTGAAGGCGCCTTGAGCTCTTGATCATTAACTGGTTAGTCCATGTGGACGTGGTCCTCGAGCTAACCCCGCAGCATGAAGCACAGAGGCGGCAAGTGAAAGGCCCACACCCTGGCAGCCAACAGGCGGATGTGCCTCCTGGGGAAGTGCTCCTCCAACCAGTCCAGGGAAGCCCGTGCCGTGCGCGGTGTAGCTCGCCCTGCTGGAGCGGCTCATCACCCAGACCGACCCCGTGAAGTCGCCCCAAGACCGCCCAAAAAGATATCAGAGCAGCAACGCCAAAGGTGCTGACAGAATTTTCGTTTCCGTCTTCAAAGAAGCGTAATCCGTGGCCATGATTTGGCGAATGTCAGACCTCTGATCACTGCCGTTGCTCTAGATACTATTTTACCACTGAGTGACGATTTCAACGTCACCAATCTAGATTCGGCGACAGATGCACTTGTCATTGTTGGGCGAAATGGGAAATCACTTTTATCTGTTACCTTGTACAAAAATGTGACGAGTAACGACATCCTAACCTCTTCTTCGACCCGGACGTGGCGTCCCGCAAGCCATCTCTCGAGAGCACGTTTTTCAAAGCATTAATTTTTTAAATCTAATCCAAACGTTTGAATGAATGGATTCATGCGATCAGAGCTCACGCTAAGCATTTCCCAATGTCTCCGCGTGTGGGGTGGTGAGACGACTGTCAGGAGCATAACATTCAAAAGGTTGCAAATTGTGCATCCAGAAATGTTTTTGGAACTTGGCCAAATGGGCATCAGAGCACGAGGGATATCAAGGGAGGGTCCAAACCTTAAATTACGAGTAGAGGGGAAGGGATTTCGGTGGAGCGTAACCGAAGAGTAACAAGGAGGACGAAAGGTGGGGCTCCAACAGCATAACGACTCGAGGGTGGCCATAACGAGAACGCCGCTCAAGTGTCGATGCAAATCACGCTGAAGTAGTCTTAAACGTTCAGAAACCCGTCCGCAGGTTACCATTGGCTTCCACTCGTGGCAAGCAAGACATCCGTCCCCGTCCAGCACTACTAGCTCAATTAGGGGCCAAACGGACGTAACCTAATAGAGACGTTATGCTCAAAAACGCAAGCGAGGAAAGTTTTTCTCGCTCATCAGTAACCAGTGCACAATCGGGGGGGGGGGGGGGGGCGTTGATAAATGGTGCAAACCACGTGACGTAGTTTTCTTACAGGCTCTCAGCTTGATTTTGAATTCGCTGGGCTGGTCTACGTCACATAATTTGGTGGCACAGAGACGCCCAACAAGTGGCCCCGGTACTCTAGTCACTACTCGCAAATCATTACGTGTCACTGTCCCAGTGAAACGCTCCGGCATCCTCCGGACCGCGCCTACCCATGTGTTGACTGCACAGAACCAAGAGCTTCTCTTCGAGCCGCGCGTCACTGCTGCCGTGCCGGCCGCCTCGGGCCACTCCCGTGGCTCAGACAGCAGGCGCCCGCGACACCAGCGTTCCTTAATATGATTGCCGAAAGATACACACCGCGGCGAGGCTGATACGCGGGGATTCGTTCGTCTGTGACTTTGAGTCGTGGGTGTTAACTTGTGATGCAGTGCGGTCATTCGCAGGATATCTTTAGGCTCTTCTGGAGGTTTTGTCCGGTCATGGCAGTGATCGTAAGCCGAAAGTGCTGCTTTCTTTCGTATGTATGCCTCACTACCATGCGTCCAATTTTGCCGTCTTACTTGATGTCTTCCGACAGAAGCCGTAACTTCATGAATGTAGTGACAACGGGTCAGTGTGCCATGGCCCCCTTCTTTTCAGGATGGGCCAGTAATATTGACTATCGCCCTTAGTTTTTCAGATTTAAGCCACATTCGGCTTACTTTTACATTATCTTCAACATGCATGACGATTTCCTTAGTTTCCCAACCATCTTCCTCAAACTGCAGTGGCCATAACTGCTCCATGTGATAAATAGCAGCATCTTATCCTATCATGTACGGTGAACGGAGACATTTAGGGGCAAACCCGAGGTTCCCCCGGTACCAAAGGCTCCGTTCTGTCGTTTTAGGTAGCCTTGGTTCTTCTGCGTGGCCGCTTACACTCTTCTCACCATATGTTCATGGAGTTCAAATATGTATGATGCATTCCTCTAAGGGCCTTCAGATCGACCCGAGTGTCAGATCACCCGTGTCACCAGAATGGCAGCCGGAATGCATCTCGCGCTGGGACAGAATGACCCGCAAGACCTAGACCGGCAATGATAAAGTGCTCCCTGGTGTTCCACTCACGGGGCCCCTTGCCCCCAAAGCGTAAGGGTTCTCGGGAAGCGTTGAATGAAGTGGATCTCAATGAGATCAAAAAAGGTGGAAATGCCTGCCCACGTTCGCCAGAGAACGTCTTTTTATTTGCAGAATCGGCCAGCGGGACAACTAACCGAACCCTGCGCGCTCGCAATCTCAGGAGCAAGAACCAGCGGGACAACTAACCTAACCCTGCGCGCTCGCAATCTCAGGGGCAAGGACCAGCGGGACAACTAGCCTAACCCTGCGCGCTCGCAATCTCAGGAGCAAGAACCAGCGGGATACCTAACCTAACCCTGCGCGCTCGCAATCTCAGGAGCAAGAACCAGCGGGACAACTAACCTAACCCTGCGCGCTCGCAATCTCAGGAGCAAGAACCAGCGGGACAACTAACCTAACCCTGCGCGCTCGCAATCTCAGGAGCAAGAACCAGCGGGACAACTAACCTAACCCTGCGCGCTCGCAATCTCAGGAGCAAGGACCAGCGAGACAACTAGCCTAACCCTGCGCGCTCGCAATCTCAGGAGCAAGAACCAGCGGGACAACTAACCTAAACCTGCGCGCTCGCAATCTCAGGAGAAAGGACCAGCGGGACAACTAACCTAACCCTGCGCGCTCGCAATCTCAGGAGCAAGGACCAGCGGGACAACTAACCTAACCCTGCGCGCTCGCAATCTCAGGAGCAAGGACCAGCGGGACAACTAACCTAACCCTGCGCGCTCGCAATATCAGGAGCAAGGACCAGCGGGACAACTAA